ATATAAAAGAGGCCTCTCATGTAATAAACGTTGCAGTTGGCACACACACTCGAGGCATTTGCTAGCTGCCCCCAAGCCAAGAAGCTGCAACTGACTGCCAGGCCGGCCATAACCCATAGATAATCGATTTACTGGAGATCACAAAAGGTTTATTGCATTTCTTTTGAACAACTTTTCATTTCTTTTAGTCTATGAACTGTTTTAATTTCTGTTTATTTCAAAGTGCGTCTAGTTTAGCTCCGTCAACAATTTGCCCGTTCAATTGTTTTATTATTCAGCTGCTTACTGAATTGTCAACAAGTCATGCAACTTATGCAGAGTTTCCGAGAGCTGAAATACAATTGTTTTCCAGCGATTTGTTTTGACCATAGCGCCGGGCCGACCATTGTGTGCCAACCGGATCGATAGTCGCTAAACGAGCGACTGGCTACGGCACAGGCCATCAGTTTCAGCTGATTGCACATCTGGTTATGATAAATAATAATAATGAAATTAACGCTTCACATGTCCAACAAACTGCAAATGCAAGAATGGCATACAAAAATCAAATAAATTACGTATACGACACCGTCAAACCGGTCGAGTGCAGCAGGAAGGCAGGAAGGAAGCAATCAAATCTAGTTTAAACTTTAACAATTTTCTCACAAAAAAAAAAAACATAATTGATGCATATTTATGCGTTGACAAGCTGTTTATTATATATTTGCATGTAAGATAGTTTAGTTAAAATTATATCTAATCTAACAAAAATATGGCGCTGGCTACTGAGGCCAGGATCTACAAGATCTAGTTGTAATTTGGGGTATATGTATAAGTTAGCTTATGAGTAATGCATTATTTTTACAGGTTAGAGTGAGGTTTGGAAGTTAGTATATATTGTTGGAATATTCAGATAAGTTGGTTGATAATTACCTTGGGATTATGTTATTGCATAAATTCAATTTAAATGAGAGTTGAAGCCATTTTATTGTTTTTTAAAAAGGGCATCGAAAAATTAATTGAAAATCAAATTAGAAATTTTAATTATTTTTAAATATTTTTAAAAAAGTCTCTGTTTAGCTTGGGAGGTACATTTAATCCAGCTTAACAGGTCTAACTAAGCTTATACAATATGGAAAAGTGAAAAAAATTACCCCCTTTTTTCGTAATATATATTCGATTTTATACATATTTCTTATCAAATTAAATATATTTATTATATTGGTATTTATAAATAACAAGTTTATTCTTAGCTGTCTCAATTTTGTTGAAACGTATATTTTTCCTTAAAATCAATTTGTTTCTGACTCGGAATCAAACGTTTTCGCTTCGTCAAAACATGCAAATGCAAATTGAATTAATACTTATGTATATTTCCTGATTTCCTAATGTATGGATACAATTAAATTGAATTAATATATTTCTCGATGCTCTATTCTCCAACTCTGTTCTAAAGTTTCGTGAATATAAGAAATCAAGTATCGAACCAGATCCTGTATAAAAAGCTGTCAAATGACAGAATCCGGAAGCAGATTTTGTGAGTCATTTAAAAACAAGGTTAAAGAAAATTACCCAATTTCCATCTACTTTTCGTAAATACAGTCATGCAAATAAAATGCATAACATATTGCTTAGCACCAATTGCTTCGATTTCTTGTTAAATAGTTGCCATGCAGCAGCTCAAAAAGCGGCTTTTCATTTTTCACTCACTCGTTTCGGTAATTGACGTGGTGCAATTGAAAACCAAATAAAAATTAAAATGAACAGAGCAGAGAAAAAAAGTCTGTCAAAAGTTTTCAGAGTGTAACGAGAAATGCGATAACAGGCCGGGCGCTCGCCTTGACAGCACTTGCAAAATGTTGCAACGTTAGAAAAATAAAAAAAATAAAATATGAAAAAAAAAAAAAATTGAAAAAAAGAAATGATAATGGCATCCCCGACGACTTTGTGGACTTCCTGTTGCGTTGCGCAATGAACTTCAACTTCAAAAGTCGCGCTGCCCGAACCGAACGACGAAAATCGAAATAAAATTAAATTTCGGAAATGGACTCGTTTCTTTGCCATTTAGCGGAAGTGGCCGCCGCCATCGCATAATCAAATTTCCACAGTCGCGTCCAGCTCCAGCTGAGTAACTGTGTCTGTAGGATCGTGCAGCTGGAGCCCATGAGTTGAGCTTCTTGTTGTTGTTGTTGCCGAAAAGTGAAAGCCTGCGCGCGGCGTCTGCGCCAGCTCCAGATCGATATGTTTTTTTTTCTTTGTCGGCATTCCGCGGATGCGACTGCCTCTATCCTCATACATTGTGCCTCTGAATGTGGCAGCTAATCCAGTCGATGATACAATCGCCTATTGCCGGCTGACAAATTGACTAACTGGAGGCGCCGCAGCAGCATCCTGCCGCATGCCAGCTGTTTAGTTTGTATACCCTTGCGCATTGTATTACAATTTTGTCATGCAGCGTGTAGCGCATAGAAGAAGATGACTTTGACACCCTAAAGTACGTATATGTATCCATAAGCATATAGCTATGAGCATGTCCCCTTTCTTCTTAGTCTCTTTTTAGTTGTTATTCAAGTTGTGAAGATTTTTTTATCAGACTTGAAACAGATACGTTCTTTTATTACAGTCAGTAATGAGTGAGCAATATATATATGATATTTAGATATGATATGATATTTAGATATGATCGAAAATTTTTAAAATAACTCAATCAAAATTGTTTTTCACTAGCTTCACCTTACTCCTAATATATATAAAAATCGAATATTCAAACAGTTTTTAATGCAAGAATTTATTTTTAAATTTTTTTTTGTACATCGAAGCTTCATCCGGCTGCAGTAAATTTTATGTACAAAATAAAAATATTCAAATTATTATTAAATAAAAAGATTTAAATATGGAAAGGTCACGAAAATCATTCTGAAAATTTTCAATGTTAATTGTCTTAAATTTAAAATTTTATAATATCTTATGCCTATACTCTCTAGATATATCTAATGCCTATACCCTCAGTCGAAAGTTAAGGTCTTTTTAAATAACATATCTAATAGCATATTTGCTAATAAGTCTGGAAGGGTATTTTTTTGGGCGGTTCTCTGGGGGTTTCTTTTGCCTGCGAATTTATTGCCGAGCCGTAGGTAAATGTGCGGTAGCACCTGGGCAGCGGCAGCATTGCGTGTCGTCGAGCTGCTGTCATTGCTGGAATTGCATTTGTTGCAATTGCCACACGACGACGTCGACGACGACTCGCGGTGCGTCCACATTTTTCCAGCTGGCGGTTTAATTGTAGCTCGTTTTATTTAACTTTACGAGTGGCTTGTGTGCTTTTTTCTTTTTATTATTATCGGTTTTTATTTGCATTGAATGCGCAATGCAATTTCATTATTTATCATTTTGTTGTCGGATCGCATAAACCAGCATATATTACGAGCCATGGCTATTTCACCATTTTCTCGCTAAGTTTGCCCCGCAATTTGGTTTTCATAATAATTCTCGATTTGCTCTCGCATCTGTCTGCTGTGACTAATTAATGAGCTCAAATAGTGACATTTCCTAGCTAATTTATAAGTATTAACTTTTTTTTTTGGCCATTCGCTGGCTCAGCAGTTAGCCAAATAGTCAAGAGCGTGGCAAGTAGTTGAAATTAGTATAAGGCCTTTTTCGGGTCCATTAATTTAATGGGCTCGAAGCTGTTGTTGCCTCTGATATCTCTGAACTAAAAGGTCAACAGTTTTTTCTGTTAACTACTTGGTAATTGGCCCCAAATTTTAGTTAAACGCGCCACTTGTTGCACTAATTTGAAGGCACCCAAAAAATATGCAAATCAAAATTGCGCTCCCTAAAAGTATGCACAAATAATTTTCTGTGACCGAAATTGGCAGCCTCAGTTTAATTTCTTTAGTTTAGTTACGATTTTAAATCTAAGTATATATATTTTGTTTTTGATGTGTTTTGTTTTAAAATATAAAACTAGCTAAATATAAAAATTGCTATCAAATTTTTGGATAAGAAAAGTATGTACGTAAAAATTTTTAAATTCAATTAATTTAAACGAATATAAAGAAAATTAATGCTATCATCAACCTAACGATAACAGAGAAAATTACAATCAATGATTATCTTCCGATCTGTACACATAAATATTTTATTTTTCCAGATATAAAGTATTAACAAAAATTATGAAATGTATTTATTATTTAATATCTATTTATTGACTTATCTATACAAATTCAGCCAGTTTCCATTGATAGCCGATTCTAAGTATTTCAATTAAAATTGGATTGAATATGTTTGTGAAATACTTGGAACGCAAGCTTAAGATTATTATTCACTCGCTAAAAATCAAGTCCACGTAAGAGGCCTCTGCAAGTCGAGAAGTTTATGACTAAATGCATTTTAAATTCTGACTATATTTAACTTTTGAGTGTGCTACGTCAGTGCTACCTTTTTGTTTTTGTTTTTTTTTTTGCCAATATGCCTTTTATTGTACGCCTGCGGCTTAACAATGAGTGTGGATATTCCCAATGAGTAATCGTCTTTCCCAATGGATAGAGAACCCGCTAAGTGGCTTCGAAGATCGTTGGCCAATTGCGCCAGGTGACGCGTGCTGGAAGCGCGCTCTGTAATGTAGGTGTGGTTGTGTGTGTGTGTGTGAAGCTTGATAAACTGTTTAGTGTAGCAATATGCTAAGCCAAAAGCTTCACTTTTCCTTTCAGCTGTAAAACAGCTGTTTGCGTTGCTGTTAAATAAGCTTGGGTTTCTTACGTATGTTAAGTATTTCTTGGTAATTTTCAAGAGCTTCCATATAACGACACAGCTTACATAGTGACGTCACGCTGTAAGCATCTAGCATAGACAAAAACAGCTGTAACAGCTGCGATCACTGCCGGTCTGCCGCCAAGCGTTCACTCTTTCTCTCGCTCTCTCTATCTCTCTCCTTCTCAATATGGTTTGCGTTAAGCTTTGCTTAAAGCTGCACTTGTACATTGTCTGAGCTTCAACTTGTCGTTCAGTTGCTTTCTTGTCGCGCGCAACGATAAGCGTGTGTGTAGCCAGTTGCTGTGTGCTCTCGCTCTCGCTCGCGCCGCCGCCGCCAAACAGTTAAAGCTCATGTGCAGTTGAAATTAAATATTAATGCTTATTATCAAAGACGCGCGTCTCCCACACGACTTATACTATAAATATTCCACCGGGGAAAAAACACGCGCGCGGAGACGCGAAGACGGCTGCTTAAAAGCGCTTGCATCGCGCCAACTGGGCTTCATTTTAGGCAAGGTCAAGCCTAGCGCAACACCACGGGCTGCGAACCATCTCGAAAGCAAAAAATAATAATAAAAAATCAGAAGCAGCAAATACTAAAGTGAAAAGCAAAGCAACTAATTCAAGTGTCGTCGGTAGCTGTTTGCAGGCACTGTGCAAAGGAAACAATAACAAAGCGGAATAAGCAAAGAGGCGGCTGGAAACATTTATGAACAACAACAACAACAAAGACAGCAACAACTAAAAGCAGCTTCGACACCAACTACAATATTAAAAAAAAAAAGAGGCAGAAAAAACAGTCAAAACAAAAACAACAACTACAACAGCGGGCAAATAAAGCCCGGCAATCATTTTAGTCGTGCCAGTTTGTTTATTAAATATACTACGTAAAGCGCATAAAAATAAACACAGACAGTCAAATACACACACACACTCACACACACACAGTCTAACAAGCTTGCCCGCAAACGTGTCTCAAAACAGACGACCAGCTACCCTGTAAAAACTTGGCAATCTTTTTGTAAATAAATATTAATTAAAAACAAAAAAAATCGTAGAGCTAATAAGAAAATGCCTCCCATGTGGTGGAAACTGATCAAAATTATGCTGCTGCTCTTCGCGCTCTTCGCCACGGTGAGTTTTTAAATGTTTATAATTTATATTATTTTATAGCTGAAGCTTGCATAAAACGCTTTGCTCTTACCTTTTAAATAAATTTGAAAAAATATGAATGTGCATCAATGGTTGTGGCTAACATTTAACATAAATATTTTAATGCATATACATAAATTTATTAAGCTAACTGCATCTGGTGTATATAACGCTCGATCATAATACACACATATATCTATATATATATTAAAGGGCATATATCCTGTTTTTCGTCTCGCCACTTTTCCCCACCTTAATTTCATACAACTTTCTTACTGTGAACTTGATTAATGCGCATTCGAATGGGTATTGCAATAATAGTTGCCCCGACAGACAGCTCGCACACGACTTTTATAGTTTATTGATTTGTGCAATAACAATGTTTCAACTAGAAACTTAATTACAAATTGTATTCCAATTGGAATTTGTTTGCACAAATTTGAATATCCGAACAGCAAACATGTTCAAAATGAGTTGGGGAACAGACTAGTTTTCCAACAATTTCAATATATACTTGCCACACGCTTATCACTGCGCTTGAGGCGATATCAGTCGAAGCAGGGTCAAAGGGCTGACGCTTGGCTGGAGCAGATTATCTGTAGGGCGTAAAGAAAGTTCATAAGTTGAAAAATCTAATTATAAATAAAAAGATAAATCGATTTGATATGTACTTTTGCTGTGCTCGGCAGTTAATTGCTTGGGAAAAACTATCCAGAAGAAATTTGTGTAATCTAGCCAGAATCAATTTTATTACCTTTAATTAAGCCTATTTATAGCTCGAGCTGAAGTGGGCGGGCAGATTTATAAGAAAACTTTATGGCAGGCTAAAGCCCAGGTTAAGCAAATTGAAATGTGCGCACACATTTCAGCGACTTTTGTGAGTTTCCAAAACTTCTGTTTTGACTTTTGTTAGCTATTTTGTTTGTTATATATTTATAGCTATTTTTTTTTTTTGTTTTTAGGTTTGTTTTTTATTAAGTTGTTGTCTGTTGTTGTTGACACATGCAAGGCAGCTGCCAAATAACAATTATATTAGAGGCTGCCAAAGAGGTAAACAAAAAATACAAGTAAGACAAGTTATTGCCGACGCATAAATACCCTTGCCTAGTCAGGCGAGGTAAACAAAATTAAATGCAATTAAGACTTTGCAGCTCGCGGCACACGGAGAAATATGTAGAAAGTTGCGTTTTGGTTCAAGCTGAATAGAAATTGGAATATATTTGAATTTAATATTTTAAGTGCAATAAATTTGTATATTGATTGAATCAAGTGCAAATAACTAAATATTTAAGCGATTGAGATTTTGAGATTGTTTTTGTTTTATTTGCGAACAAAGTATTTGACTTCTTTTTCGCAGTGTAATGGCTGTTCTTTGAAAGTAAAGGTTTTACGCTTCCATATCTATACAGTCATATTATATAGTGAGTTGATCTGATGAACTTTTTTATATGTGGTGAATGACCAGTTGGCATTGAGGCAGGCAAGCTATGTGCTTGCCTCGACTGTTGACATAGATCAGGAATACATATTTACAGTAAAGCTGCATTTCCTGACATCATTACAATACCCCTTGCATAGGGTACATAGGGTATAATATATCTAAACTTGTGAGAAATGTGCGTCTGTGCATATAAATGCGAAACAAATAAAATCATTCTCTAGTTCTTCCTTCATGGCACACTTTATATACTATATACCATATACTACCTACATATGTATATACCCAAGTACCCAAGTATTCGTATAATCATAACCTATGGTCGCCAGGCACTTACGCATATGTACATATGCTGATTACTCAAGCGCGGATCGGTTTGTGTCATCGGCGAAAAGCAGTTGTTGTGATTGTTGTTGCTGTTGTTGTAATTGCCAAATGAAATAGTGTTTGGGCAACATTTAGCAGTTGCGGCAGTCATCGCTAACTTATTTGCTTCTTCCTTTCCCACCACCCCCTTACCCCTTTCCAGTTACCCCTTTCCGCTTTCCACGCTCTACTCGTGTACAGTCGGCAATGTTGATCAATGGCAAACAAAAACCTTCCACATGTATCTTTCAGATAGTTTGTATCAATAGCGAAATGTCGAAGCGACGCAGTGAGGCAGCCGCTGCAGAGGCCAACAGCAGCTCCAATGAGACGATGTCCTTTGTCTCCGACAATCTACTGAACATGATGCGCACCAAGGTGCAGGAGCAGGCGCTATCCAAGGAGCAGCAGCCGCAACAGGATCCAGGCGAGGTGGAGGTCTGCCCCGAATTGCTTGTCCTAAATGTTTAAATTAATTTTGAATGCGTTAAATGTTAAATGTTGCATATGTATATGTTGCGTTTTTCTGTTCTTTGGGTTTTCTATTTTCTTTTCTTTCTACTTCTTCTTCTTCTACTTCTAATGTGCGTGCCCTTGACAATTTGAAAACTAAACGTTTTCCCACTTTCTTGTTTCGACATTTTCACTGCAGCTGCCCGCCGAGGATATTGACGAGCGAGTTCGTTCCATATTCAAAGTGAACGATGGCCATGGTTTGATGCTTTTTAATGTAAGTGTAAGGATGCACCCGCACATCATATCGGATCCACATTCCGCATTTCACATCAACTCATCAACTCGTCCACTAACCGTGTTTCTGTGTGTTTGTGTGTTGTGTGTGCTTCGTTTTGATTCGGCTTAGCAAAGAAAAAAACCAAAAATAAATAAATAAATAAAAAATGAATAGGCAACGAAAACAGAGATAACTAACGCAAAATTTACACACACAGACGACGGCCACGAACGATGATGCATCCATCATGCCCATATCCGCTGAGCACCAGGCAACCGAGTCCTGGCCAACACCCACTCACACTCAAACCCAGTCTCAGTCTTCGTCTCAGCCCAAGCCCAAGCACTATCATCAATATCAAAGCTTGAATCATCAGCAACAGTCGTTCAAAGTGCAACGCTCACCGGATGGCAAGCTGAATCTTGTCTTTAATGAACCCATCGTCTCTTTGCAGAGCAACGCACAGCAGCAGCCACCGCAGCAGCCGCCGCAGCAGCCGCCGAAGCAGCAGCAGCCACAGCAGCCGCGTCGCCCCATCTCAGACAGTGAGTAGCCCAAGTTATGTAAAAACATTGCAGTCTGGTGTAACCGACTGCTTAATACTCTGTTCACAGTGCAAAAGCATTTGAAATTAATCGAAAAACTGTTTTTGCTTCTCTCGCTCGTGAGTCTAAAACTGTAATCCCAATGCAGTGTCCTTAAAACTGTTACTTGAATGGGAATTATAGCTTGTTGATCATTGGATGTGTCTCAAACTGTAAGCAGAATAGAGTTCCAATATGAAAGGATATATTTGTGTGTGACTTCAAAACTGTAAGCCGAATACAGTGCTTTAAAACGGTATTTTGAGATAATAAGCCCCTTAAACATTTTTATTAAGTCTGGATTACTGATTTGGTGGCTTTCAAACTGTAATCCGAGTGCAGTCCTTTGTGACTTGAGAAACAATGCATTTCTAAGGTTCATTTTGAACATTTCTAATGTGTATTAAAATGTCGAATATTGGATGGGTGAATCTAAGACTGAGTCTAAGGTAGCCACTACGAAGCCGATCCACAATCTGAATACTTTAACTGCATAATGGGATAAACGATTTCAATGGGTATACTCTATACTCTATATAAGTTCGTAACTAACACTGACTAAGCCAATTTCTGTTAAACTGTAACCTACTTATAGATTGATTTTGGTACTTGCATATATTTTTCAATGTCACGTTTCAAACTCTGCAGCAAGACCAAAACAAATATGCCTCTCTGCACCTTGCGAACAGAGTATCAATGCTTACCTCAAAAAAAAACATTTCTATACCAATTACATTTGATACAACTTAACAAACTAAAACAATATCATGCTCGAATACACGTTCAACTCCCTTGGCGCTTGCATAACGTCCAGTTATCGTGTTTCCCGACTCTATAGATAAGTATCGACCAGCCCAACCGGCGCCAACCATCGATACGGGGGATCTGCAGTGCGTGGATGGGTTCAATCAGAGTCGCTCCTTTTGCACCAAGGTGAACAACTATCCGGATTTGTCCGGCCTGAAGGGCATATTGTCGCGTCGCTTTGCCAATTTCTTCAGCGATGAGCCGCAGCCCACGGATTTCGGACTGCGAATGAACGATGACGAGCAGTATTTGTGCAACAGCCATGTGCGGTACTTGTACCCAAAATTGGGCCAGAGATTGGATCAGTCCTGGCAGTATATAGTCAACACGGATGAGTTCAAACAGGGCATACTCATCGAGGAGTGCGAGTAAGTGCAAGATTTAATTTAATCTGCTAAAAGGATATCAAAAAACTTGATTTCTCTTTCAGTCACGAGGGCGAGAGCTGCCAATTTCTGGACAGCTTTCCCAACAACTATGTGCCCGTCTGCAAGCAGCACTATGTGATACGTCATCTGGCCACCATCAATAATGCCAGCAGCGGCCAGCCCGAGGTGGCCAATGAGCCCTTCAAGATACCCTCCTGCTGCAAGTGCGTCATAAAGAGCAAATTTTCGGTAGAGAGCAAACCCTGAGACTAAGCAAAAACCAATCTGAATGTTGATTTTAGAATGTCGAGCCAATTTCTGCACATGTGATTTTGATGTAAGCAATATATTTAAACGATTTGCTTTAAATGCTCATAATGAAACGGCACACAAAATTTGGACTGGCTATATATATACACAAATTTGTTAGGCATATATAGCTTCATTTACTTCACTTGATCAACTTCCGCAGCGTCCAGCCCATGGCATAGAATCCAACCAGCTTGATGGCCATACGCTTGCCCTCCACATTGCTCAGCTGCTTAAATCTTTGGCTCAGGTTTCCAAACATACCATCCATTATCAGTCACTCTTAAAAACAAATATCCCTCTCGATCAAAAAGCAATAGGAGCAAAGAGTTATATAAACAAAATTTAACACAAGCGAACGTAAAAAGTTTTCGATTTTCGTAGATTTTCTTTCCCGATACTTCCGAAATATTTATTTGTTTGCTGTAACTTATAAGGCATATCTATAAAGACTACAAGTGTGTGTGTGTGTTTTTTTTTTTTTTTTGAAAACGAAGTTGATGGAGTCTAACACAAAGCTATCTAGATCAAGCACAATGAATTGTTACAATATTTTTGTTATTTTATTAATATTAATTGTATAATTTCTTGTTTTCATTTGCAGCAACAAGTTTCACCCACCACAGAATGGCAGGCCAAACTGTCTAGGGTCTTATTGTTTTTATAATCTGTAGACTAGTTGTTTTATATGCACATAAAACGTATCTTAAAATAAGTATAAATAATCAGTACTATATCTAATGCCTAATAATAATTGCAAACACTCATTGATTAGCCATAAATTTATTATAAGGTTTAGTATTTACAAAATATTACTTATTGACGCTGCGCCTATGCTAAAAACAAATTCATGTCGTACTTTTCCACTCGGCTTAATTTCCGTGTAAAGTCTAGAATAAATGCATGTTATGAGTATTAGTTATATAAAAAAAAAAAAAAAAAAAACAGAAAAAATAAATCTAAATAAAGTAAAAACTTTAAAAGCTATGTTAAAATATCAAATATCACGCACAAAAAAAGTAAGTCAAAAAGTTGCGACCGACTAAAAAACACCCTGTTTGTAGTGTATAATGCGTCGAATAGACTCTCTCTGATTACTTTAAAACTGTAAACTTAAAGCAGTGAATTTTAAACGGTGACTCGAGTATATAACGAATTTGGTAATTTGGTTAGTCAGATTACCTGCTAAATTTAGAGATATAGTCAGATTAACTGCTAAAGTTGTTGAATTTAATGGTAACTCTAAAATTGCAACAGCAAGACAATCAATTTCAAACTGTGATTAGAAAATGTCAAAAAATTTAATTCTTTAGCATGCTTAATGCAGGATATCAAAGTCCCCCCTAGTGGATATAAGCGATATACCCTTTCTCAATGCTCGCACAGAGTACAACATGTGAGATTCTCGTCAGTGGGCAATAGTAAAGTTCTTTGAACTCCATTGTTACCCAACTTGAACACGATGTCAAAGTAAATAGCTGAAACATTTTTCTTTCGGCCAACTAGCCACATGGCCAACAGTATGCAGCATGTAAACATGCATTTGCTTATTAATAATAATTCTGAGCGCACGCTGTGTAAACTAATTACAGCTGATGTGTGTAAATATACACCCACACATACACACACACACACACACACACACACGCACACAAATACATTAGTTATTTGCTGGCACACGGGGCGTATGCGCGTTGTGTCCGTTGCCTGCATTTTTGGTTTGTTAGCTGTTGCCCCTGGTGCGCGGCAAATCGATATTATTTATCGATTCTAGGCGCAATATATCCTAGTAAGTATGTCAAAGTTAGGTCGAACAATGCGAATGACTTGGCCAAATGTCTGTGAGAACAACAAATATATATATTAATATGTAGTTAAGTAGGCATTTGATGACAATTATTTTGTCTTACAACAGACATTGGGGTATTGCACGACCATTAATCATATGGCTTACACATATTTTATGTATATATCTATATATATATACCCATATTTATCAATTATATGTGGTTGCCTTCACCCGGGCTCCAATTCTAATGGACTTTTTTTTCCCGATTACGACACTTACCCTGCCAATCAGTTGGGTTGGGCAATTTTTTTTTTGATTTGTTACCCAGACCAAGCAGCCATAAAGTATAGGAAAAATACTGCTACGTATGCTAACGAAGATGAAATACTCTTGCTAAATTATTGCATATTATGTATACGATTTATATGGAACCTTTCACAATTGTATATATATTCAAGCGAGCTGAATATGTCTATATAAATATATAAAAGAGCTCACAGCTTAAACGGCAAGTACAAAGACGCTGAATTTTGAGCTGAATTTGAGCTTGTCCCAAAAGTGAGCACTTACATGTAAGTTCTTTACTCTATTCGGCGAAAAACGATGGTCAAAGTTGTGTGTGAAAAATAGAGCAACGGGATTATATGAGTCGGACTAGCGTGCGGAAAGTCACAGGCTCAAATCTATCGGTTCATAGACGTTAACGTTTACGGCTTTGTTTATATTTTATGTATATCAGTAATAAAAACTATATACGAATATAAAAAGCCAACACATATTCCTTGCCAAAAGAAAATAGTTTTTATTGTCTGTCAACTTCGATGTGGCCTACAAATACTCTACTTGGCTACACCAATGGCATGAGAAAGTAGACATGCCCCACGTGTCCTGCGAGTGTAATGTAATGTGCTGGACAGTCAGACAATCGCATTGTTGTTGTTGTCATTTGTTGTTGTTACTGGTGCTGGCGAGTGCTGGGTTGTAATTGCCGCAGCACATTTGCATGGCAAAAGGAGTTAATGGTGGTTGCCTGATTTGTTGCTGTTGTTGTCGCTTGTTGTTATTGTTGTTGCTGTTATTGTTTGTTTGTTTGTTGCTGTCGCTGGGTCGCGCGGCCTTATAAAAACCTTCTGTTGGCCTCAACACGGCTTCAATACGCCGGCAGTCGGTAGTTCAGTCGTATACGGTGCAAGTGGCCGTGCTGGTTGGGTCTTCATATTTATTATACGATATTTCCTATGACTTTTACAGTGGCTGCAGCTCTGCTACGCTTTATGCACAATTATGCAACTGACTGCATAGGTCAAAGGCTAAAGAGAAGCTTTGGAATTCGTGTGTCGACGCCTTAATCTGCGCCAGCAAACCGCTTGCAACGCTTCATTTATATGCGCAACATGTGGTGTGCGCCTCTATGTGAACCACATTCAGCGACTGCTAACGCATATTAATGAAGCACATCACAATTTATACGAGCGTTCATTAAAAAAAAAAAAAATAATAACAAATAACTAAAAAAATCCCACGGGGAAAATGAATAAACGATTTAAGATCAACTAAGTTGCGGTTTCGCAGCAACGGCGACAATTCCAATATGGATGCTGCCCCACCTAGCACACGTAATCGCATCTGGACAACGGCCAGCGCCAACAATGGCTACTTCGATGAGAATCTGCAGCAACAGCCGCTGCCGCTGCAGCGTCTACAAACGCCGGGTGAGTCACGGCTAAAAAGTCCACTTCAAAAACATATATACTTAGATTGCTGTCAATCCGCAATTTAAGTACCTAAAAATGATGTGTAAGAAAGGCAACCGAACAACTTGAATTGATTTATAACAATACTAGCGGGCATTATCCGGCTTTGCATGAATTATATTTTGTTTTTCAAACTCTCATACTCCATTTTTATAAATATTTTGATTTTGATTTCAAACGAAGATTTCACAAATTTTCCACAATTGGTGGTGAAAACTTGTAAGGCCTTAGGTAAATAATGATTGGACTGTGCGTTGGCCATCAAGCAGTCCTCATAGTTATATATATATATATATACATATATTTATAAGGTAAAGTACTTCTGAATGAGCAAAATAACTAAATGTTTATATATGCTATATGTACATATACATACACCTTATCCATAGCAATTAAGAACTTTCGAGTTACAAGCGGTGCATTGATTCATTAGGCAACCACAATGGAACGCAAATAGCTTGACTTTAAATATGTATAGATTAACCTGAAGTAAGCGACCGACCGTTCGCAATAATTATTCACTTGATGACGAATAAGAATAATATCATAATATTTAACACTTAACCCTTGCCTTTATTCATATACGTTCTGATGGGGAATATGAAAAAAATCTACCAAATAATGCTGAATGTTTTACACTTTTTAACTATCGACCTTTATCTGTCTTGTCTCTGGCTCTTTTACTGCATTGGACAACATTGTTTTATCATTAGCTTTTTCTACTTCTTTATCTGTTTCTGATCCATATGTGGATTTTTCTGAGTCTATATCCATTAGCTGTTCGCTCATCTCTTCAGTTTGCTTTTGCTGTTTTTTTGATTTCTCCAAGAGCTTCGTCTTTTTATATTTGGAAACACAGTTTATCAAGTACACAGCTAGAGCTATAGTTAGAAAGCCGGCCCATAGCTCCATGACACATTCCAAGGGATGCAAAAAATTTGTGTTTAGCTTTTCAGCACGATGCATATAGTCGGTGATACCAGATACGTCCTCAGCCATGGCGTATATATTAACTTCCAGGTTAAAAGTTTCATAGCCAAATAAAGTTAGAATTTTCGACATTTTTAAAAAATGTAATTTGTTTCGAAACTTTTGAATGCTAACAAATTTCTGTTCCTTTTTGTGACAAATAATCCCAATATATATTGTTAAATTATGTTTATAATTATTGTTATATATTATTATTACGATTGTTTACTATTGAAGTGTATTGTTTGTTGTTGTTTTGGACAGAATTGGTGAATACAAATTAGATTAAAAATGTTTCTTAGCAAGATTCTTTTTTTTCATTTTCAAAATTGTTGTTGGCCATTTATGGAGATAAAGTTGGGTTAATTAACGGACTAAATCAGCGATATATCCACATTCATTTATGAGACTTTATTTTGATGTCTTTAATAAAGCAATTAAATAGATCAACTTATATGGATTATCAAAGCTCTTTATTCTATATGCTTAAATGAGCTTGTCAAGGATAACTGACTGTCTGTGATCAAGCGAATGGGCGCTGGTTCAAATCTACTAAAGTTTTCCATTTGTATATGTGTGCACTATATTTGTAATTATACAGACAGATAGAATAGTCTAACTTCTATTAAGAAATGGAAATGAAAATGCGGGAAGAAATCTTGATACCCATTACATTTCCAACATTATTCATTTGATCCGGACAATGCCGGATATTTTCTTTTAGAGAGTTAAAATTGATTTTACAATTTAGTTTTATATACAGGATACTTAAAGTTCCTCAATTACCACGAAAAATGAATTTTTGTATCTATATATAGTACATAGATATAAAATGCACGTTTGGGGAATAAACATATCAGCTACGCTTCAAAATTAGTTTAATGTCGCTGGACACGCAAAACTTTTGCAGTGCATTGAACCAATGGATAATGCATGTTGCAGCTGAATGTGACAGGTTAATGCAACATGCCACACGTGTCCGAATTGCAAATAGCCAACCACCCACTCGTCCATAGCCCGGGCTGGAAAAGGATTGTTGCACTCCTGCCTAATGACGTGCACAGCCAGCAAATGGATCAAGATTGGACAGCAATTTATGCGGGAATAAGGAGCAGGGCAAATGACAGGCATCTAAACAGACAAGAGCAAACTAATTAGTTTAAAGTAAGGGGTACTACGAATTAATATTGTCGTACGATTTTTGAATACGTCAAACCTATAATACCCTATGATCATATAATAAATTGCAGTGTATTGTTATAACTAACTCCATGTAATGTATGTCCATTACAGCTAATCGGAATCTATTGTCCGGCCAACTGGCACCAGTTCGTG